CACCAGAACACTTCGCTATAGACTGCAGCTTAAGTAAAAAAATTTGGGAAGTAGTATATAGATTTCTTAATACTAATGAATTAATTAACTACTCCTCAACTCTCAAAGAAATGTTCTCCAGATCAAGCGCACAAAACTCTTCTTAAAAGCAAGCGCTGAACTGGCTTCATATCACAACAATTTATAAACTTTGGTGATGCTATGCCTCATTTAAATGGGGTAATACTACTTTTCCTTTTTCTACACTTTTAACAATCATTAAAAATCGGATTTCTAAAGAAATCCAAAGTCTTCACAAAATGTATAAAACAAATAGATCATTAGAGAAAAAAACTTTATGTAAATACTTAAAATATTCTCTATAAATTATTTAATTATAAATAAAGAGCGCCAACTACGCCCCTAGCTTCATAAAGCTCAGGTTAAAAAAAAAAAAAAAAAAAAATATTAGAGTCTTAGATATGCTTGAATCTGATTTGCTAAATCTAGTCATATGTAAGTCTTTTTAACAATAACAAGTAATGAATTGAATTATTTTCAGTATTAAAAAAGTATTAGATAAATAAGGCTAAATGCAAAAAAATTTAAAAAATTATAAATCATTCATAAATATTTATTATGCAAAACATATCTTGTTTGTTATTAAGTTTACCTAAATATAAGCCAAATTTTTACTGGCTTAAGTAGCATCCAGTTTTTGAAGTTCTAAATCAAATTGTTTTCCTTGATTTTTAAGTTTAGTAATACTTAACTAGAGTCTTAAATCAAGTATTTTTTGTGATTTGCTACCAAGTTTGTCTGATTCTGAATTTAATTAGTGATTATGTTTTCATAAAGAGATGAAAATAAACTATAAATATAAAAAATTATACTTCTAAAAAAACAAGTAATAGACATTTTAGTAATTTCGTAAGTCTAACTATCATAGAAGATAAAAAAATTATAGCTACTAAAGAAATTGAGAAAACCTAAACAAGAAAAAGTAAAGTGTTAGTAATTAGTTACTAATACAGAAAAGACATGTTAATTTCCATAGAACAAAAAATACTACTCTTGAAAAAAAAGTTAGCTAATAAATACATATAATAGTAGTTAGTTAGTTAGGTTCTAGAATAAGTAAGTACATACCTGTAATAGACTGATATTACCAACTCATTTTTCAAATTTCTTTTTTTGGAAATTGATAATAATTGCAAAAATTAGCTAATAAAAATTATATCATACTGTAGATTTTAATTTAACATTCCTATTATATAATTGAATAACTTAAATTTAATAAAATTTCATTCTTTAAAAAAAATGCTGAAGCTAGACTTTAGAAAATACAAAAAACCTTTGAGAAAAAAAGAAATAAATTGTAGTTTAATATATGTTTGTTTAATTTCTTTTTTTTTTTTTTTTTTTTTTTTTTTACTTTATACAAATACTATTAGCTAAACTTTATTAATTTCATAGATTTCAGAAGTGATATATATTGTAAGAGTACAATTAGCTATACATACAATTTTAGATTATCTATTTTAAGTAGTCTGCCTAAAGGTTCTACACTAGCTGCCATATCTGAAATCTTTTAGAAGATTCTCTATTTAAACTCTCTAGCTCTATCCTACTTACCGCAAGTATTACTCTTTATAGTTTACCATAACCCTATGTTACTCTACTTTGGGAGGCATTCAAGTTGACATTAGTCACAAACTTTATGTTATAAGCTTAGATCTTATCTGAATAAGTCCTACTTCAATGCCCTCTAACAAATGGGTGTCATGATATCTAACTATGCTATGCTATATCCTAATCTAGCTTGCATATACCTTTATTCGATATTCATACAAACTCAGTTCTAGCTGTGATCTTTTACTAGTTTAGACTTCTGAATATTTTACGAGTAGATCCTCTTAATCTAGTTAGCTGCCAAGCTAAGTTAGTATTACTGCTAAATACAAGGTATTAGGCTACGTTATATAGCAGATTTACTCATACCTATTCAATTTGTACTCAGAAATCCTTGTCAGATCAAGTGTTAACTGACATAACTATTGAAATCTGTACTACTTCATCTAACTCAGAATTTCTACTATGCAGATCCTCTGCTCATAGATCCTATTTTGATTTATTCATGTAATGCAACTCCAACATTCTGTTATACTTCCAATATTTGCACAATATTAGTGTAATATAATTTATAGAGTTATAACTTCAGAAATAAACAGAGTTTACTGTAAGTTGAATACAGATGTCTAGATAATTATTTAATTCTATTGACAGTAGAATTTGAAACCTAGACCTCTTGCATGGTGATCTGACAACCTATCCACTATACTAAATCACCAGACTCTTGTCTGTTTAATTAAAAAGTTAATATGTTAATACTTATATGAATTTATACTAGTCTTATTAAATAGATATTTTTTCTTATATAACTAGAGAAGTTATTTTATATTAATACATGCATATATTAATTTGTTGAAAAACTAAAAACTTTTTAATATTATAATACATAGTACAAGCATTATATATTTTAAATTTTAGAGATACTATATTATATAAGATATAACAAATAATATATAGGTAAGTTACAAAAAAATTTTATTTCTAATATATGAATATTTTATTAAACATACATTATAGTCACTTATATTTTATTAAATAGGTGATTATACTAATATAGATACTAAAAAAAGTTGTAGTATTTACTATTTGCTTTATTTATATCTTATAGTTTAACTTTTATATGATAGTTACTATTGCTATTTTTTTTCTCGTTCAAGTAGAATAATACTAGTATCAGAAGCTACAGATCTATGATAGCCTATTTTTTTATATATATCATTAACTAAGTTTTGTACTTTTTTAAACATATCTAAGTTAACGATATTATGAAGATGAGATAGTAAAGCATTTTGATTATTACAGTTAAAATATTTTTGTATCAATGAATGTTTAGATTTAACTAGATTTTGAAGAAACATTAAGTTATTCTGTAATTCATATAGACATTTTGAAGTAGATTCTAAGAATTTTTTGATTTCTTATTAATAAATATCAGCAGAATTTAAATCAGCAATATCTGCTATATTATATTTTTGTAGAGTTGATGCAGATATAGGTATGTTAAATTGTAATAATTCTATTAGAGTATTAGATTTAAAAATATATCTAATATAAGTAAAGATTTCTTTAGATAAAGTTAATACAGAATTATTAGTATTTTCATTTTCAACATCTTCATTTTTATTATCAATATCATCTTCATCACTAATATTACTATTATCATCATTTCTAGAACTTGTAAGTATTTCAGATTCATTAGCATATTTATTTAATCGAATATTTTGAGATTCTTGATAGGTTAGAAAAATCATTTCAGACAAATATAAATGTTGTTCTTGCTTACAAAGGTCTTTAATATAAAGGGCTGTAGCATGAAGATACTTGCATATAATTCTCTTTTGAAGAAAGTCAAAGTATTGATAGTAGATATCAGTTAGTTGTCTATATACACATATTGTATAAATTACTCTTAGCATAGTTTCAAATTGACTTTAACATAGATATTTTCAGAAAATTCTTCTACCTTAAATTTTTTTATTTTATTCATATTATTTAGTTTTTTTGCAAGTTTATTACATTTTATACTTAGAGACAAATATGTAACTTGCGAAAACTCTTGTATAATAATTTTTTTTTTTTTTTTTTTTTTTTTTTTTAAACTTAGGCGATCTTGCCCTTCACTTTATTAAGGAAAGCTTAACAAAAA